ATATAATTAATTTAATAGAGGCATGACTACTTATGTATTTACTACGGTTACATGGGATATATGTATTTACAAACACATAGACAACAATGAACGATATAATAAGACATCAATGAACGAGAAATGCATAAAGTTTGGACAATTGATAACTTACACGCGTGAGCGAGTAAGAGAGAGAGGAAAGGGGATGGGGAGAGAGAGAACAGAGAAATTGGGAGAATTTCATTGGCAGGAAGACATTCACCTCTCCGATTACAACACGGAACATCATCTTAAAACTTCTTAGAAGCTCTATAAAGAGATTTATACTTGCAATCAACTTATGTTATGGTTTCTCTCTGTGCCGAAACATTCCTGTACGGCCCTGTCTGGCCGCGTGAGCTGAGTCCTTTGGGTGTGAGGAAGCGTCACGTGGGCTGCTTGGCGCGCGTGTTGAACGGAGGTTTACAGTCTTTGTTGTAACATTTCCAAAGGGAAATAGTTCGGCTAAGTTCGTTTCACTTCGTGGAAGTGAACTGAGTCGGCTACGGAAAACAAAACTTTGACTAACAAAAAGGGAATAAAGATCTCTACGGGGAAATCACGCGGAGTTAACGTTGCATCTTTCCATGGCTTTGAAGAAGCGTGTGTGTCTCTCGGTCCGGCGCGTCACGTGGTCACGTGCGCGTGTTTCTCCTTCAAAGAGAGCGCGCGCTCGTTTAAAGGTCCCTGGTAGATGGATTTGCTGAAGAGATATGTCACGGTCACGGGGTTTCCTTTTCAATCGTCGATTGGAATTAAACACAGAGACTTATCTACAAATGAAAAACACAACTAAACTAGAAACAAATAAAATAAAGGCGAAGAGCTCGCCCGGAGGCGAGACGTTACATCATGACACGGGAGGAAGAGAGCGAGCGCAGGGGAGAAGCGTCATTTATCACACTATGAGAAATCCAGCCTCTTCCTGTTGGCTTGGCCAATTAGAGGGTTGGAAGTTTACAGGCGGGACTTTGGGTTTTATTTCTCTTTGTCTTGTCAGACTGCTTGTCTAATTAAATTATGACCTGTGTTAGGAAGGGTCATTTCTACTGCAGAGATGTGTTATGCACATAATCATACCTTTTACGGTGTGTTCATACATATATCTGGCTGAGTCAAGTCAAGGGCATTTTTACGATATCAAACACGACTGTTATAGGTAAACATTTACATTAAAAATACACCTAGGGTATTTATAATTCACTTTTAAGTTACGGACAAATTATAGTCATTACAATGTGACATGGGCAAATGGACACACATAAAAACACATCGAATATATCGGGTTAAATGTCTTTTAAAGAAAAGAAGTTTCTTTCTCTTTGAACATCAAATTCCAAGTCAGTCATACAAGTGTCTCGTAACAGGAAACCACGCTCTGTCCTGAGTGTGGGTGTCAGCTGTGGGGGAGGTGTGTGTGTGTGTGTGTGTGTGTGTGTGTGTGTTTGTGTGTGTTTTTTCAAGTTCCAGGCCTTTTGGGGCTAAAGGCTTTGGGATTTTAGCACGAAGGTATTTAGTTATTCAGATTCACCCTGGCCCAGTCCTTACAATTTATTTTATTTATTTATTCATAAACCTGTCGACGATAGAAGTTACAGCGTCGGAGAACAGGCCAGAATGTGATAGCGGAGCGTTCAGCAGAAAATATTTGTCTTCCCTTTTTTATACCAGACAAATAAAGCCACTGATGTCTCTAAACCATCATAACTGCTACAATAAGCTATGGTACGTTTAGTGCCATTATACGCCTGTAAAATCGTCTTAGAGTACAGGTGAAAAAGAGTTTTTTTTTTTTTTTTTATCTCTTTATTTGTAAGATTCGGGAAAAACAGTTAGCCCGGCGCTGAGGTTGTGACCTGTGCTGCAGGAAACGCTCATCAAGCTTGCTTTCACTTGCGTTCCTTGCTCATCATGTGACCAGCTAATGTTAAGTCTGGCCACAGCACGAGTCACAACCTCTACCAGCTCCTATAGCTTTGGCCGTGAACTGGCGCGCTCAAATCACGGTCATCCGCATCAATACTGAGCACATCCACTTCCTCGGAAGCAGAGAGCTCAAGCATTGGGACCTGATCGTGGGCAGGAGAAGCCGCGATGCGGGTTCTTGTACCACTCTCAGGGGCTACGGGATCCTCAGACGAAGAATGAGAAAGTGCCGCAGCAGTCTCATTCTCATCTGTAAGATCCCGCTGCGAACCCCGTGATCTCAATCGTCGCGCCGCCTCAACGGACGCGGGACCAGAACTGTGGGGAACGCGAGCCTGACCGTGCTCATCAAAGCACGCCAGCCGGGAGCGCAGCACTCTAATAGGAAGTGCTTCACAGTCTGCACAAACAGCTCCCTCAAGAGCTGCTTGTGCATGCTATGCTCCCAAACAATTCACACACAAAATGTGTGTCCCCACCCGTAATAAAACGAGGGCAAGGATGCACACATCTTTTAAATTGTTCGCTGGCCATTCTGATCAACTGATTGACAAACAACACCAAATAAGACAGACAGTTTCAACACAGAGCGCTTGCTGAAGAGCGAAAGCTAGTGTGTGTTGTGACAGTGTCACTTTTATACTTCCGGGTATGCCGTCACATGTTACGTCACGACGCAACACCAATCAGGATTGGATTAGTTTCATTCATACTTCAGAGGCGCACGCTTAGGGAGCGTCCCCAAAGTGTCGTTTTTCGACGCAGTGTAGAGTTCCCTCGAAAGGGAACTGATATTTAGACCGAGATTTGTATTACATCTATATTCATTATAGTCGAATCTAGAATCGAATCGAACTGTGAGCTTGTGAATCGAAATCGAATCGAATTTGAACATCTGAATCGATACCCAGCCCTAGATGTTACATACATGTAGGTGGAATATTCCAGGCATTCTAGAACCAAATGTAATCAAACGTCATGCAAATCCTTCCTGTGTTATTCAAAAAATCAGAATAAGTGCCTGTTATTGATTCCCAGCACTTAATAGCCCTAAACAGGACTGTTCTCACTCCCTCTCATTCTCTTTTCCCTCTTCATCCCTCTACGCTTTTTCCATCCTGTTCACTACCCTCTTTTTACAACTAAATATAATTTCCCAGAGGATAGTGGGTCACCGGCAGGCCAGCTCATATTTGAGATGTGAGAAAGATCCTGTGTTGAAGGTTCCAGACCCTCTCTTTCTTTCTCTAAACCCACAGCCAGACCCCAGTGGTGTGTGGAGGGGCCACAGAGAGACAAAGTCCTCGTATCGTAGTTTTAATGCCTTTGACCCGGCTCTTAGACCGATGCTGTGCTTAAACCTGCTTCTGTGATCAGAGGCCAGTATCCTCCTGCCCCCCCCAGTAAAACCTTCAGCAGGAGTTATACGGTGTGATATACCGCTGAGATATTTCACTTCCAGCAAACCTGTCTCTTTCCACACACATTCACTTCCAGCAAACTCACACACCAGAACATCTCCATGACACACACACACAGACACGTTTCATCTTGACACTCGTGCCCTTTGCCTTTATGTTTTAGTTCCTGCTGTCACAGGTGCTGTAGACATTGCAAAACCGCCCTATTTCCTCTAATTCCTGACACGGTTCTGCAGGGTACGATTTATAGTCATACTCCAAATTTAAATTCCAAATCTAAAGAGTTGTTTTGTGCAATCTATTGCATTTCCTTGAAGCATCTTTTAGATGGCAGATAGATTAGCATAAGTCAATGCGGCGGTAAGCAGTTTGTGTGTGTTTTACTGGGATTCGGTATGCTTTGAAGCTTTCTTTCCCTCCTCTCCGTACTGCACAGCTGCATTGATTTAGTACAGCAGGAGAAATCAGCAGCCTCAAAAACACAGATAACAGAAAAAAATGAAAGGGAGAGAAAGAATAGGCAGATAGGAACGGAAGGAAGGGAGGCGAATGGATGGAGAAACTGATATCGGAGAAAGAAAATTGAGTGCAAGGGCCAAAAAGAAATATTAGCATGACTAAAGCTGGTGGAGATGATTGATTTGTGAATAAATTGTTATTCTAAAATAACATTTCTTTTATATTAGTTACTTGACTAAAACGGAATCTGTGAAAATTCATCTGACATAATCAAGGTCTTATTTTGAATGACAGCATCAAATTTGTACATCCAAATTTATACGACCAATAAAACTAAAATCGGCTTGATTTATACAATTAAATCAAACAGATTGTGATATTAGAAGGGCCACACTAACTTTTTTTAAAACTTATCTGCGCAGATTAATTCGGTTCAAGCCGGCACCAATATACACATGGATACAGGACATCTTATCATTTTGTTTTTACATTGGCTATTTTGCAAGTTGAATGACCCATTTTTTGTTAATAACTTCCAGCATCTCTGTATAAGAATATGATGTGACATGCATGAGCAAATTACATTTGTATGCATATTCCTATAAAATCCGGCCAGACAGCTCTACAATATATGTTTATCATGTTTGGGTAAAGACATGGTTTGAACAATGAATTTTTTTTGCACTCTATCATTATATATATATATTTATTTATTTTTAATCATTTTTTGAATCAGTTCACTGAGTCCTATTTAAATGCACTGAATACAGAGCACTTTGTATGTCAGAGGTGACCAGAAAGATAGACACCTAGCATATAGATCAGTCCAATAGATTACGCAAACATGAAAGTAGACTTCTCTACCCCTCTTTTTCTTCTGATTTTCTCTCTCGTTAGCATTAACATGTGGTCAGCTTGTCTAATACGACTCTAATGACCAATCAGATGGTATAATGTGAGGTCAGCAGGAAGTGGAGCGCAGAGGTTAAAGACTGATCTCTGACCTTGAGGGAGTCTTGTTGGGGGTTCCTGGGCAGAATGATTTATGTGAATAAACCCAGAAAGTGACACATAAATTCACTGTTTGGCTGTGATTCATTTGGTGTGTTTTCAAGAACGTATATCGATATATGGTTGACTTTTAGGAAAGAGTCCTAATAATTGTGTTTGTTGCAGATCAAACCAGACGAGCGTGTGCTGATAACCGAGAGAGGTTTGCTGATTCGTTGGCTCCAGCGTAGCGATGCAGGTTCCTACTTCTGCACCTCCCAGGAGCACAGCTTCACCCGTAACCTCCTCCACCTCTCTCTGCACGTCCTGGACCCCGGACAGCTCAACGGACACCAACCTGCTATACGGGACTCATCAGAAAACCCTTCCGTGACCGAACCCCGCCAGCGCTATAAGGACTATTTGCGCATGTTGAGCGGCCCTGCACACTCTCTAGACGAGTACTGTGAAACAGTCTGGCACAAAGAGAAGAAGCAAAAACAGAAGGGCAAATGGAAGCATGTCCAAGAGCTCCGCAAGAGCAGGAACCGACGCCACCACTAGGGGTGCCAATGATGCGTGGATTCGAGTGTGAGGTTAGAAGGGTCACAGTGCCCTGGGAGCCACTGGATGTGGATTAAATGAACTCAAACAATCTCAAAACCAAATACAAATACAGAAATGAACTATCTCCTGACCAGTCTGCTTATGCAAAGCAAAAAGTCCCCCAGAAACATCAATCTTACCATTAAACATTAATCTTGTTTTCATTGTAACTGATGCCTCAGATATGACCCACTGATTCTTTACCATTTAGAAATACCAAAATACCTATATGTGACCAGTCATCTTGGCTGATCTTTAAGGCAAGACACTACAGGCAACTTTTTTTCAGGCACTGGTCAATTTTGATATTTTGGGCTATTTTTCTTCCATAAGTAATCTTCTTTCAGACTAGTAGAAAGAAAATATAAAAATGCATTTTTTTAAATAAGTTTTTTTTATGCAGTGAGCCAAAAATCTCAACTTTGTACATTTAAGTGTAAATGTAAGTACTAATCATGAACCAAACTTTCCAATTTTATCTCTATCTATATTCAGAAGACTTTTACAGTGGGGTTTGTTTATATTGCATTCACCTGATTTATATATTTTATTACTATTTTTTTTTTCTGGCTGTTGACGGTATTTTCTGATTTATGGAGTGATAAGAGATATCTAAAAACCCCTATGTACAACGGTTAATTTTAATATGTAAATGAACTTTGAACCTGGCTTTATCCTAATTATTATAAAAATTATTGCATAATTAATTAGACAATACATCATTTCCATATAAAAACAAAATTTTTGAAAAACTTGTAATACAAAACAATTGTCTCCATGTACTTTAATTAATCAACTGGGGAAGTACGGTGTTATTTATTAGTTAAAAATGTTATACTTTTTTTTACCTGTAGTGTCTCGCTTTAATACTATTTAATACTATGTCAGAATCAATGGGGCAATGTATTGTATGCTAAAATCATATAGCTATAAACCTATAAACGATGCTCTACACCAGGATTGTTCAGTCTACAAATGTCTGGATTAATGTTTTTAAAAACATGACACCAGTTCATTGCGCTTTAATTTTAACCAAGAATAAAAATGCATTCATGTTGAATGTATGTAAATATTTATATTATTTGTACATGAGATTGTGCATGCTTTAGCAATATTTACATAGAATTCTCTTTTGAGATTACAGTTTTAACCAAGCATTTAAATTTCACTGAGTAAAATACATTATTTTTGTATTTTTGCAATTTGTCTTATAGTGGGTCATTTGTTTATGGCATATGACATTATTTAAAATGACCATGGTGTTGAAATAAACTCTTTTTTAATTTCTACTTAACTGTGCAATGGAGAAAAGACAATGACTTTATTATTTAAAGAGATAGTTCACAGAAAATGTTTAATTCTGTCTTCTTCTCTTCACGTTGCTCATAGTCAAACTATGTATGATTTATTTTTTCTTCATGTGAAAACAAAGGGAGATTTTGCAGAATATCCAGGCTGCTTTTTCCATACAATGCCAGTTTATGGTGACCACGGTCAAGCTCCAAAAAGACAAAAAAGTGTCATAAAGGGGGTCTATAAGACCCAGTAATATGCACTATATTCCAAGTCTTCTGATTTGAAATGAAAGAGCACATGAGAAGAGTATGGTGATTAAATGACAGAATTAATTTTTTGGTAAACGATCCCTTCAAGTAATCATTGATGTACTAAGAAACAAAAATATAATAATTTGCAATGGCATGTATATAATTCTGTATTTTATATTTCAATACAGTATAATTATACATCCAATTAAAGTTACATTGTAGTTCCAGGGTTTGCCTCAAAATATTGCTTTTTATTTTTAATTTCATGTCTTGTCATTTCATATTTAGATAAAGATAGAGGGTTGATACCACAGTTTTTATTCCAAATGTATTATTTTTCTCAGAAATTGGTCTTACTCACTCACTGTTCCTCCCCCATGCTTTCAAGTGTCTGTATCCCTCCGGATACAAAAACCATTTAAGGGGTTAAACACTAGTTCAATATCTGTGATGTAATATAGATGAAACAATCTGACCCTACATCTCTGTCACAGCCTCATAATCACACTTGAATACGCACATACACAATCTAGGCACAGTTATATCTCATATCCCATGACTTCATATCTGAACAAGAGTCACGCGGCCGGCTGTTATGGGATTCATCGCGGGACTGCTTTTCTCTGAGGTCAACCTGTCTCAGATCAGATTAGAGAGGGAGTGAGCTCCTCACACATACAATAGAGCGCGACCTCAGATAACCTCACCGCCTGAAGCGTGTGTGTGTGTGTGCTTTCAAGGTCAGACCTCCTCTCCCATCAGGATTTCTCATCTCTCATTTGGTCAATAGTGCATGTGGTGCCCTGTGGTGGAAGTCAAGGTCAGTAGGTCATACTCGCACACACTCATTACTTTATTTCTGTTTTGTTAATTTCCTAAAGGGAGAAAATAAACAATTTAATCCTTTATAAACCTAGTTAATGATCATTTTACACAAGTAAACAAGTCCTAAATGAACCGCATCGTGCCAGAAAACCAACACAGGATCCGTTTTTTGCTCTGGGTTCGACAACAAGGCCTTTCTGTCCGAGTCGGGGCATGGCCCGGGGATGGCAGTGACAACCACACGGGGAGTGCAATAAAGGGGAAATGACTGTTTCTGGGCTGATGGGTGAACTCATTTATCAGTGCTAAAGTCTTGAGTAATACCGCTTTCTCTTTCCCGTACCTCCTGCCACGGCCAAGACAAGCAGAAAGTGATCTTTTCTCTCCAGAATGCCCTCCTGTAGTGGTAATCGCTGGAGCTCTTTAACCGTACAAGAGCATCTATTAACAGAGATGTTCTGCTTCGTGCCGTGGCAGGTCAAAGGTGGAGCGGATTGAGTGAAAGAGACAGAGACAGATAGAAAGAGCATGCGAGAAAGATTCAAATCGGATAGATTAGGCTCAGCTGGGTGTTGTCTGTATTAATGAGTGTCTTTGCTAATAGCAGTCAGTTTAAATGAACTGCTACTTATGAGTTTGGGAATTATAATTACGATTCATTTGATTTTGGTTTGGAAAAAATATATTTCTCTTGTTTTAAGCTTTTTATGCTTGATTTATTTATATTTAATAATTTAATTTCCTTTTTTTTTCTAAAACAATTTTTTTTTAGCAAAGGATGAACTTAAGGTATGTAAAACTGTGTGTGTTGGTATGTATTTTAACATTCACATGCTGCCACAGATACTAATGGCAAATGTACACTGAACAAAATTATAAATGCAACACTTTTGTTTTTGTAATTTTTCATGAGCTGAACCCAAAGATCTAAGACTTTTTGTACACAAAAGGCCTATTTCTCTCAAATAATGTTCACAAATCTGTCTAAATCTGTGTTAGTGAGCACTTCTCCTTTGCCGAGATAATCCATCCACCTCACAGGTGTGGGATATCAAGATGCTGATTAGACAGCCAGATTATTGCACAGGTGTGCCTTAGGCTGGCCACAATAAAAGGCCAGCCTAAGGGGGAGGGGGGGGGGGGTCTTTATAACCAGTGGTTATAACCTGACCTAAAACTGTGAAGACTGCAACTTAAAAACAAAGCAAATGAGGGAAATAATGACAAACAACTGTGATGATCAATGAATCTCCATAGTACCTAATAAGTGTTGGGAGACTAAACAAAGGAACACATATAACTGAAAATAACAAACTGAAAGTCTATGAAAATGAAACTAAAAACAAACAAAAAAAACAGAATATTCGTGACAATATGACATTGTGGTAGCATTTATGTGAATTTTCCTTCTAGTCTTTTGGAAGATGTCGGGACTGAATTGGGACACAGTTTTGCAACTTGGCTCTGATTTTGCATATTTTATCAGTGTTGGCTGCTGACTTAATGAAAGTAAAGCTGTTTTTGCCCGGCTACCATGTGTTGGGCTGGACTGTGATCTGAAATGTTTTATAATCATCACTTATTTAGTACTTGGCTAATTTCGGCTATTACAGCATCAACACATTTCTGTGTAAACACTCTAATAAGCTGAAACTTTAACACACAACCAGTTTGATGTGCTTTGTGAATGTAAAGTGCTTAGGTTTACATTATATTCATGATTAACATTAATTCCACACATTTGCCCAGTACATGTTATCATGCAAAACTAATGATGCACAGCTACACTGAAGAGCTTTGTTAACATTTTATGCAACTGAAGTTATGTGATACATGACTGTTTGACACATCATATATTATGGGTTGCACAGTAGTCGATTAATTCTACCTCTAATGATGCTTTAGGTATGTGTCAAACTATCACGGATCACATAACTTCTGTCGCATGTGTCAGTTGCATAAAATTCATGTCAACAAACCTATTCAGTCACAATATAGCTGTGCATGGGCCATAATGCAGACACTGTTGTAGGTCAGTCCACTCTTGATCCCAGAAAGTGCACGTTTGCAGATATGACTCAAACTGACTAATGTGTCTTCCAGTCTCCCAGTGGACGCAGGACACATGATGATGACCGTGTCCTCTACAGTCCTCTAAAACTGGCGTGAAAGTACATACCATTTCAAGCAGCATTATCATAACTGTATAAATTTGCTTCTTCTCCAGCTGAGATCTGTGTATTTGAGGAATTTGTGGTTGTATCATCAGTTGTGCAGTGTTTTCCTGTGATTTGCTCCCGCGGTGCATCCGGCACACAGGGTTCACGCATTCCTTACGGCAAGCCTGCGGTTTTCCGAAAGCCTGTGGAGAGACAAAAAAAAAGGGATACAGATAATTATACGATCTTCATGTGGAATGTATGATTCTGATTAATTTATCATTTTGCATGTTGAAAATGGAGAAATGAGCACTGAAATATTGTGTTGGGTTCTTATCTATTATTCTCGGCTCTGTTGCTGAGTTTATAAGACCGTTCGCTCTCTCGCTCTTTGTTAACAAAGCTGATGAATATTTCAGACCATGCGTTTGAGAGTTTTTGAAGCTTCATTGTTTATTTAAAAGTTAGAACAAATCGGATAACCTATCCGAGAGAGAATGCAGTAAGCCAGTGAAAAACTAAAGGACAACTGTTGTGATTCTTAATAAATGTAGGCCTTTTTAAAATAATATTAAAAGTCTAGTACCAAACTGAACACAATTATACTCGCCTAAGTACATTTTAATGTATGCAGGTATTGTTCAGATGGACATGACACACAAATC